TTTATTTAACTTTTTTAATATAATAGCTTTATTATAATCTTTTTTATTATTATTTTCTCCTTTAGCTATTAATATATCTTTAATAACATTAAATCCTATATTAATTATATTTTTTACTTTAAATTAACTGCTAATTATATAACTATAAAATAACCTTTAATATTAAACCCCTTTAATTTATAATAATTAATATAGCTTTTGTTTTTTAACCTTAATATTATTACTTTTTTTTTAATTATTAACTTAATTATATTACTTTTTATAATATTATTATATAACCTTAACCTTTTATATAATATATTAATATATATAATACTATAATTTATTTTTCTTTAATTTTTTTATATATAAAATTAATATTATTTAATTTAATAATAAATACTTTATTAATTTTATTTAATCTTAAATTAATTTAAAAATATTTTAAACCTTTTAAATAATTACTTTTTATATTAATAATTAAATTATAATATAGTTTTTTATTAAATATATTTTAACTTCCTTTATAATATATACCTATTAATATTTTTAATAAAATATAAATAAATATTAATTATTATATAAAAATAACTTTATAATTTTTTTTATTATATATTAATATTAATATTATAATACTATTTATATTTATATAACTTTTTCTTTTTAATAGTTATATAATAAAATATTAATTAATATTTTTATAAATAGACTTAATAAAAATTATAATATATTATACTTTAACTAAAAACATTTTTTTATTATATTAATTTATATTCTTTATTTTATATTTTAAAATATAAGTATCTTTTAATTTTAAGCTATATATTAACCTTTTAGTTATTAATTCCTTAAAAGTTTATAATTACTTTTAAATATAAAGCTTTTTTTTTTTTTTTCTTTTTAATAAAATATTTTAATTATATACTTTTTTTATTATTTTTAATTTTTAACCTTAGCTTTACTTTTTAATAATTTTAACTTTAATAACTTTTTAACTTTAATAACTTTTTAACAGTTTAATATATTATTTAATAATTTTACTTTTAACTATTAATAAACTAACCTAAAACTTTATTAATAAATATTAAATTTAAATAAATTTTATAAATTCTATTTATTAAAAATTATATTTTATATTATTTTACTATTTCTATAATATATATAAATATTATTTTACTTTTACCTATAGCTAAATATTATTTAATAGACTCTACTTTAGTTTTTAATAAACTCTACCCCCTGTAGTTTTATAAAGCTATATAAATTCTCAACGGACTCTAATACAATCTATTACTGCATAGGTAATAGGTTTATATTATTATATTTATAAAAATAAAGTTATTTTTATAACTTTAGTAGTATATATTAATATAAAATAAGAAGAGCTATACTTTTATTAGTTACGCTTACCTATGGTTTTGCTGTGGTATATACTTTCATTAGTTTACGTCGTAATAGTAATTTAGGCTTTAAAAATAAGATGAATAAAAGGGGAGTACTATATTATAACCTAATACCTTTATAATTATAATAATAGGTTTATAAAGTAGGTACCCTGGAACTATAATAAATTAATAGTTTAATTAATACTAAGGCTTACATATAGTTAAGTAAGCTAAAGTAAATTAAAGGGTATATACGTTTACTTAAGTTATAATAATTATATAAAGCTTTTATATATATTAAGCTATACTTTCTGTTACCCCCTTTATATATATATATATAAGCTAGAATTTTATTAAGCCGTAGCTACGGTTTGTTGCAGAATAATAAGATAGGTAAAGAGAATGGAAACCTTAAGTTTAATTATAAAAATCAAAGAACCTTAGTTACCTAATTCAAGCATTTGGTATTTTAGTAATATCTTTTAAACCTTGCGCATATTTTAGGAGGTTTGTTGAAGGTAAGAGAGATCCGCGAATTACCTTCTGTGACTTTACAACGGCCTCTAGCAGCTCAGTCGCTTTCTGAGCGGCCAATCCTGATTCCATATCCTCAAGTTTCTCTGGAGATGCCCACTTCAGCTGCATCAGAAGATCATCGAAAGATTTGTCGTCGTTGGCATCATTATAAGAGGTCACCATTTTGAGTTGGGGTGAGCGATACCATGACCCATTAATGTAGTCCTTAATCCGTCCGCCTTCGATATAAACAGATGCAAGGAGATACGCCGATGCGAGATCTTGCTCTGACGCTATCCGATACTGATCTGTTACGTGCAGTCTCTGCTTCCGCACTGCCACGACATACTCCAGCAGCACGATCGCCTTCGATACCTGGCTTGCGCCAAGATACAAATTTGCGAGCTCGTGTACCAGTTGCAGTCCCTCAATATGGCTTTCCGGCCATGTTTTCATGTGATCACGTATGTTTCCATGTATAAATTTGAGAGCCTCTTGAATCCGTCCTTTGCTAATAAGAATCCTCGAGTACTTTTTCGCTGACTCCTGTCGATCTTGGTACCATGCCTTCCATTTGGAAGACACATCATATTTCCACATATCAGGATTGCCGTCAATCTTTTCATCCTCGAGAAATGTAGGTCTTCTTTCCAGGTACTGGCACATTATAGACCTCGTCGATGGGTCGAAGAGCCCCAAGCCCCAAACCCTTGAAATCAAGCCCGCTGTAGGATTTGTTTGGGACAAATTCCGCGCTTTGTCTTTCCAATAATTGATCCGCTCAAAAACAAGATCCGGGAAATACATAGACGTTTTGGAGGGGTCCTGGTTCCTATCATAGGTGATTACCGCTGTCCGAAAGCTCTCGTCGACAACATAGAGAGTTGTCACAAAGAGAGAGTAAACGTCCAGTGCATGGCTTTGATCTCCAAGACGACGGTCTCGCATTTCTGGAGCAATAAAGGCACTTGATCCGCGGCGTGTATGGGCACTTCCCATGTTGAGATCCTTGACTCCTCCGAAGTCTGACAGGAAGAATTTGCAATAACCTACTTCATATTCGAACAAAATGTTCTCGGGCTTTATGTCCCGGTGAATGACAGATTTCTTCCTCAAATAATTGAGTACTGGAATCATCTGCCGAAGCAAAGAATCTGCAAATATAACTGCGTGTTGAGGATTCAAATTTGTGAGATCCCCTCCCGAATCATCTAATAGCAGCTGATTGAGGTTCCCATGCTTGCGAGGCATATAAATATATATAGCGTGAGGGTTTATTTGAGTGAGATACGAATGAATAGGTAATATATTATCCTGCAAGGGCTATTTAGCGCGATTCTCATAGTGCTCTAATTCTGAGCCATCAACCTACGTGTCGTAGAGATTTGTGTATCTCGCACTCAGCTTCTGCCGCTTTGATTCTCTTTTCGTCATTGACTATCATGACCTTGACGACATAGGCTCGATCAGTGGCCTCGTAGACCCGTCCATAGGCACCTTCACCCAGGAGTATATTCGTTCTTTCCATGATTAATTTGATGAAAATTGCATCGGCTGCCACAGATCAGTCAGAAGTGTAGAATTAACTGGTAGTGATGCGAACGTAGGACAACGTTGTATTGAAATTGGAAAGATGAAAGTGAGGGTTGTTTTACTTAGAGTACCTAAGCAGTGAATATAAATAATACGTGCTAGTGCTTAAGTGCGAACATAAAGCTACTGTTCTATTCGTCTGACGCGCCAGTAGTTGACAAAAGCAATGTCCTCCCGCTCGTCAGCTGGTACAACCAGCAGCTAAAATAAGCACCCTAATTGCAAGCCGCTTTTTTTTGTAGCCCAATAGACCTTATGTTCCCCTCTTCTTGGCATAAATATCCCCTCTCGTAGATCCAATAATCTCCATTCTTCCTTTTGGTGGCTCCGACAGGCTGCAGCATGTGGCGCTGCATCTCGGTCAGGCTCTAGGGCTAGGTAGCGGTGGGAATTGAAACCTTGCTCGTCTTGTGATCTTCTGTTGCACTTGACTATCTTTTTGGAGCACCGAAGTGAGCAGAGAGGGTGTCAACCAATTACCGCGTACCCTGCTGGTACTTAATTTGTTATAGAAATTGGCTGGTGATAGAAGTTCCAGCAATACCGGCTGGTACAAATAGCCACAGTCCCGTGTCAAGTGACGAGCAACCCCACCATCAAAATCTCGCATCATGACCACATAACTTTCATCTTATGTTTCTCAGCCAAATGAAGGCCAAGTTCTTCATAGTTTATATCATACGATTCTCTAGAAAATAAAGAGTATATATGTAGACTAGTATTTAGTATACCAGCCGTGTGCATCCACAACAGCCTTAGGGCGGCGTGGCATAGAATCAATAAGGTTTTTCAATAGTTAGATTTCAAGCTCTTCCCAAACAGCAATAGCAGCTTCCCATAGCTTTTGGAGTGTGTTATTATTCTCGGCATCTAGGAGAACTCCGGATAGGTTTTACGGATCTCTTCCTTAACCAATCCTCATCTCTCTCCCCCCTTCCCCGGGCGATTGTAGACTTGTCAGAGAATAATAAATACCAAAAGGAAGCTGGCTCCTCACAGTATATTTGACAAATTCTAATCATATTCAGTCGCTTCTGGTCTCAGTAAAGGCCGGCGAAAAGCTTTGGAATGTTGTATGCCTTCCATCTTTATCCATCGCAGAATAGTGCTCCTTGAGGAGCAATATTGCATTCTCGTATAAGATCGTTAATTTTTTTGTAAAAGGATCTTTCTCTATGATGCATAAGATAGTTCTTTTATCGCGTTCTAACAGCATTGGCGGCCACCCTTTGCAAGGAAAAGATTGCGCACTCTTTTGCATTTCATAGCGTTGAGTGATGCCGTACACTGACCCTAATGACACTCCCTCTTCAAATGCGATGCGTTGGGCGGCATAGCCTAAAATTTTTTGTAATGCAATCCTAGTCCTCTTATGAGGACTATATTCAACCCTTGGGCTAATTAGAGACATTGCTGTTAAGAAAATTAAGTTGAAGAAATAAGGGATGCCGCGTGATATTTACAAAACGCGACGCGATTGCGTTTTGTAGTGGGGTTGCTCGTCATTTTTGAATCCCCACCATACATACATTGCATGGATCACAGCCCCGGCGAGTCTTAGCAGGCCTTGAATTAAGGTTATCCATGCCGATTTCACGCAGCGCTTGGCTGTGACCGGCTTTCCCCACAACGCAAGCCCTTGCAGGCTACCCAAGGCGCTGATTTCTTCCGATTGATATGATTGTGCTGTGAAATAAGTATAAATTCGTCCCCAGCTCGAAATCGCTGTCTTGAGAGGTCTTCCTTGCCATACGCTTTGCAAAGGTCGTCCAACTAGCAGCAGCCGCCATTCGCGTTGGCTAGCCACAGGCTTCCGGTAGGCTGGCCACGCCGCTGCAATAAGAAGCTATTGACTAGGGCAATCTCGAGGAGAAAAAACCGTGCTAGAGCCTGCCAACCGCTTCTAGAATTCGATGGTCGTAGCCCCAATAGCTTCGTAATTGATCACCAATATAACGCCCCCCATCTCGTTATTGTAATCAACAACAATTAAGGAATTGTCAGCCGCTTTACGGGTTGCTCGCCGAGTTCCCTCTTCATCGGCCGGTGGCGGAAACGTCATTCAAATTCATCGCCGGTGAAGACGGTCGTCAGGAACAACACAAGGGCATTATCCTTCCAGCTGATTTGAAGGTCCTGACCATGTACCTGGCTGTCTTTGGTTGGCATAGCTTGTAATACGCCCCATCTCGAGCAAATTCCCTCTGAGTCATCTTTCTTAACCTTCACAAACGGCTGATAGAGGCCGCAGTTGGTCCGGCAGGTGCTTGTGGCACCCACATTGCGTTGACGAAGGACTCGCTAGAGCGCCGGCGATGAGCATAGGTTATCAAGGAATGCATGATAGCTGGCGTTTAGCAGCAAATTAACTAGGGCAACAGCCACAGACTGGGTCGGGTTAAGAGACTCTGGGTCATCGCTATCCCTCTTCCACTTCCCCCTAGGTCTAGGCCTAGCTGGAAGACCAACAGGGCGTACGGAGACTTGTGCTCGTGCCAAATCCACCCTAGGAAATACCCTCGCTGCGCCAGAGCCCAAGTTTTATAACCTGTTGGTGTTGGCTTAGTCTTGATAGTCACAATCTCATGAAACCTTCCTTGGAAGCCTCCTATACACTCATCTACAGTAATATCAGTGCCTGGTTGACAGATTTTAAGAGATGCCGCTTGTAGGTGTTGAGACCATGCACCAACGCGTTGGAAGACCTTTAGTAACGGCTGCATCCGTGTATTGTTATTGTTATTTTCTGGATGCTCGGCAGGGTTGAAAATGCGAAACCCCTTCAACAGCAAGGTGAAGCGACGATGTAACATAACTTTGATAATTAGGTGCGTTGGAAGTTGCTACTGCAGCCTAGAGGTCTTCCAATAGTCCCGTATCCGTGTCTCCCTATATAATCCCATATAAACTCGGACAGCTATCCATAGATAGATTTCAGGAGCAGATGTTGGCTTCCAGTTCTCTTATTCTCCTTCTATTAATGATTGCTGATCATCTGGCTGATAGATAATCTCGTCATTCGTGTATCCCGCCTATTTTTCAACTAGTAACTTAGGTATAAAATTAGCCTGTAGAAATACCACAAACACTGGTGCTCGTTGCCCCAGCTTAAGAGTCTGGTGGATTAACTCTTGGAGCATTCAAATGCGCTTTTGTTGATTGAGATATCATCACCTGTGGAATTTGTGACACTTGTATTGTAGTAACAAGCTTAGAGAAAGAAGGGAAAAGGGGGGGTATAGGGAGCCCCTTCCAAGAGTGTGTGACATTTCACTCCTATAAGGCATTAAGCTGACGATTATGTCGATATTTGTTTAAGGCCAAATAAAATTAGGGGGATTCCTTGGCACTCTTATCCAGCAACAACTTGGCGGCTGCCTTATGTCCCCTCCGCGCAGCCCAAGATAACGGTGTCATGCCAGATTTAGATTTGGACTCTACATCAGCACCCTCCTTGAGCAGCAGATTGATAACCCTCTCGAGGCCATTTCCAGCAGCGTAAGACAACGGTGTTCGACCGTACGTATCTTTCGATTCTATATCAGCACCCTTTTCAAGCAACAGCTTGATAATTGATTCATGCCCTCTCCGTGCAGCCCATGATAATGGCGTCTGGCCATACTCATTGTCTTTGAACTTCGGGTCAGCGCCACTTTCAAGCAGCAGCTTAACAACTTCTGTATTCCCATATTGTGCAGCCCATGACAGAGATGTCCGGCAAAATTCTTTATCTTTGCATTCTAGGTTAACACCAGTTTCAATTAACAGTTTAATAATTCTCTCATCTCCGTGTCGTGCGGCTTGTAACAGTTTCTCACTGTTATCATCTCTGCCGTCTTCGTTGGGTTGCAAATGAAAGCTCCTCTCAAGCGGTAGTTTGACCATTGGCCCCTGCGGTAGCTGCTCTTTACCAGAGCCTACATTGTTAGTCTCTTGGTCAGCACCCTTCTCGAGCAGCAGCCTAGCGACTGCCCAGTGCTCATATCGGGTTGCCCACGACATCGGTGTTCGGCCGTATTCCATTTCTCTAGACTCTAGATCAGCACCCTTCTCGAGAAGCAGCCCGACGATTGCCTCGTGACCTCTCCGTGCAGCCCAAGATAAGGGTGTCCGGCCAGATTTAGATCTGGACTCCATGTTAGCACCCTTCTCGAGCAGCATCCTAGCGACTGCCTCGTGTCCTCTCCGCGCAGCGTGTGCTAGTGGCGTCCGGCCATATTCCTTGTCTTTCGACTCTATGTCAGCACCCTTCTCGAGCAGCAGTCTAACAACGGCCTCATGCCCATATTGTGCAGCCCACGATAGCAATGTGCGACCATATTCTTTGTCCTTGCACTCCAGGTCAGCACCATTGTCGAGCAGCTGCTTGACAACCGCCTCATGTCCGTTCCATACAGCGTATAACAGCCCTGATCGTCCGAAAGTATCACAAACCTCTGGATTATGCCCTTTTTTGATTAATTCCACAACCGTACCGCTTAGTCCAAAATATGCTGCAAGATGTATCCCTGTCATTTGCTTGGGGATATCTTGACTAAAATTATGGAAATGATACTCTCTATCAGACATCATCGCCTGACTGCAACCAGAGACCTTAGCCGTACTTTCGAGGAAATCTAGGATGAACTTGTCCCTTTCGATCGATGCCGCGCGAGCATGATGTCCCCAGTTGCGGGCAGCATAATCATAGAGAGGGCTGGACAGTAACCGGTCTTTAAATGCCTGGTCTGTTCGACAGAATCCGCTCTCGAAGACACTAAAAGATAAGTAGGTAATACAGATTGTTGCGATCTTCATATGCGCGTCAGGAAACCACTTGCTTTGCGTTTTCTCAAAGTATTCTTGCGTCGTGTAATGGACTAGCCGGATGATGCTGCTTTCTTTGTCGACGGTGACTAACCCAGCGCATACCGAGATCATTCTTTCGATTGGCGCAATATTATCTTCGCTAGGCTCAGAGTCTCCAACTTCTACGGCCAGCGCATATTGAAGTTCAGATGTAGTTAGAGGTCTCTTAGCGCAGGTGATCCATGATAGAACTTCCTGGGCAAGTTTCTGAAAGCCTTTCTTTTGCCTGTTGATCCTTTTCATTGTATCGTTGTACGCATGATTCAAGACCTCGCACTCCTGTCCCTCGATCGACTTCGGGCTGTGCTTTTGTAGCTGCTTCAATGCCTTTCTGACAGCTCTTGTAGTAGTCTTGTCATCAAGTGAGTTGAGGTAGACCTGTGCTAATAAAAACCTATATATGAGTCAGCAGAGTTAGTTGCCTTCAATGACATGTAGGAAAACATACATTCCGTCGACAGCTCCCAATATTACCTTCGTGACCTCATCCCGCAATTGTTGATTCCACTCGGCAAAGCCTGAGAGATGCTTTATGTGTCTATCCAGATATCGCTTAATATCTTCCTCGCTTGCACGGATTTCCAGAGACGGGTGTTCGCTAAAGCTATTTACAATCTCTGGTATAAATCTTGAGGTTGTAAAGAGGTTTGCTCCGGACGTCTTTTGAAGGTCAAAAATCTCTTTTAGGAATTCTGTTCGACAGCCCTCTGATGATTGGCACTCATCAAGGGCGTCGACTACAATATAAACTCTCAAATAAAAGGCGGCCACAGACTGGAGTGCTCCTACAATATCCTCCAGTGACGGCCGAGTCCGCTTCTCTTTGTGCTTGTTATATAGGTCTTTGACGGGCTTCGGTAGGGACGAAATCTTTTGGCTTAGCTGCTTCAACACACTAGAAAGCAGATCGACAGCCTTCTGTTTGTACTGCCTGCGAAAATTGCAGTAGATGTATGCAATACCGGTGCTGTTGTTGTTTCCAAAGTGTGTAATCAGGTCATCTACCACGATCGATGTGAGGATTGTTTTGCCGGCTCCGGGAATACCTGGACAGAAGAGCGTTTCCTTTCTTTTCTTCACCCATGTCTGGAACTCGTGCGATTCCAGAAGCCATTGGCCGGTGCCTGTCTGTCGCCGGTTAATAAAGTCGCTCTGATGGGGAGCGTAGTCAATTAGGGTAAGCCAGTCGAGGATTTCCCTATACTTTTTGTCACCCTTGGTCCTCTCTTTCTCGAGTCTCGACTCTTTGATCTCTCTGTGGATGCTTGCATGGAGAGCGAGGGTATCGATCGACATCATATCGTTCAAGGTCTGGCATTGTCGTTGAAGTTTTTGGACAGTGTCTCTGGTGGTCTTTGCGACAAATGTTCCCTTAAGTCGCTCCCATCCAAATTGATGTCCCTGGTAGAGTTTCTTGAGCTTCTCCAGCAGAATCTCTAGTTCTGTCTTGCATGCGGATACTAGGAGCTGTGTAGCTGTATTCTGCGCGGAAGGCCCCAGCTCTGAGAGCAAGGTTGAATGTTGACCCCGGAAGGCTTCCTTAAAGTCATCATTGCAGAGAATATTAGTGTTTGTCTCAGATAAAACTGTTTTCAGCGCCTGAAGCTCAGTCATGAAGCTTCTGGCATCCGTTGGTGCATATTTCCAATCCGATCCAAACTGGATACCGATCTGGATGATCTGGGTTACGACGCCGATAAGGCCAATAATAGAGAAAGGATCAGCCATTGGGTTTTCCAAGAGTAAGAGAATCTCAGCGATCACGTCAGTATAGGGAGAAGAAAGGAAGTTATGGTATTATTTAGGCAGCAATAGGCAGCCTAACAAAGCGCTATAGTCAGCAGGCAAGGCAGCCAGGGTAAACCTCTACACAGTAACTCAAGACCTACAGGATGCAGTAAGTCAGGCTAGTACCTTACAAATATGCAAAATTCTAGCTTAAATTAAAATAAATATAATAACTATATTATTTAAGTAAAAATAGTAATATAATTTTCATTTTAATATATAAACAAAAATAATATTAAACAAAAATATAGTAATTGTTACAATCCAACCTTTTATGATACATAACGAAGGTACGTACCACGGAATAGGTATGGACCGACCGGCCAATCATAGAGGGAGCAACCTACGCAAGCGCTCCTTAGGGCCATGGAGCGATAGGCAACAGCGCTCCGTAACAAACGATTGAATATATAAAGCCACGATGGAAACGCTCTTAAAATAACTTAATACAGTAACCCTAAGTTCAAGTAACAGATACATACATCTATCCCTTGGGAATCTGCCTACTTTATAACGACAATATAGGAACGTGGGAACAATACGTTACAGTAATATATTAAAATTAAAAAAGAAATATTTTCTTTTCTTTTTAAAAAAAATACTATTAAATAAATTATATTAAATATTAAATTTAAAAGTAATATAAGTAATAATTTACTTTATATTAGCTATAAAATAATGAAAAAAAATATTATATATAAATTATATTTGACGAACTGTACACTAGATGGTTAGTATAGGGTAGATTCCCAAAGGACAAACTGTTACGAACCAACTACATAAGATCCCCTTGGTACGTACCTCTGGTAATACACTGGATAAGGTAGCCAATTAAGCGTAAAGGATTTTCTCTCAGTAATATACATACCTTTAGTAAGATAAAACTACAACTCTATAAAAACATTCTTATCAGGTACTATGAGACTGACACTGGTGATAGCTACAGAACGACTTACTATATACAACCGTTCATTACGCTTATTAAATAGAAGCTTAGATAGTTAGTCGTTAATATAGCACTTTATAATAACAACCAGATTGGTTATTTATAACCTTTGTTAGCTACGTAACTAAGACCGCTTTTAAAATCCCTTACATCTCTTTGCTAACATAAACTGCCTCTGGGTTTATAGATTGGGAACCTACCCTATACCTATTACATAGATAATATAGACCCAGACGTTACACAAATATATAATAAACCGGTTTCCTATATATTAGTATATAGGCTTTCCTAAAGGATAAACCTTAGCTTAAGTTTATGGGCAATTAAATTAAATTATAAGTAATTATAAATATTATGTAGTTAATAAAATAGTATTTAAATTTAATTTAATTACTATAGGTTAATAACTACCTATTTAAATATTTAAATAAATAAAAAAAATATAAATTTATATATTTAATTAATTAAAATAAACTATTATTAAATTTTATTATAACTTAATTAAAAGTATATATTCTTTAAGTAAAATATAAAAAAAACAGTTAATTAAAATTAAAAATCTTAAGTGTATTTAAATATATATAATAAAAAATATAAGTTTTTACATTAAAGTAATAAATTTATTTAATATAAAGAAATATTATAATATAAACTATTTAAAATAATTAAATATATAAATTTTTTTTTATTTTTATTTAAATAATTTAAATAATTAAATATTAATAAAATACTAAAATTAAATATAAATTATATTTTTTATTTTATTTTATATATTTATAATTATAATTATATAAAAATTATTTTTTATTTTTTTATTAATATATATTTATAATTTAAATTTATTATTTTAAAAACTTTTATTTTATATTAAAAATAAAAATAAAATATTATATATTAATAATTTTTATTTAAAAAAATATTAATTATTTTTTTTAAATAAAAAAACTATTATATTTAAATTTAATTTAATTATTAAAATTATTAATTTTAATATATTTATAATTAATATTAAAAATAATATAATTATATAATATTTATTTAATATTTTAATATTTAAAAATAAAAAGCTTTTTATATTTATTTATTTAATAAATTTAATAAAAAGAAATTTAAAATAATTAATATTAAAATTTTTATTAAATATTAATTATTTTTTATATTAAAAAAATATTAAAAAACTTTATTTATATTTAATTTAATTTAAATTTTATTTTAAAAATTATGAAAATAAATTTAATATTAAAAAAAAGTTTATTTTATTTTATTTTATTTTAAAAAAACTATTATAAAATAATATAAATTTATTTTAAATAATTATTTAAAAAACTTAATTAAAAAAACTTAAAAATAAATTTAAATTTTTTTTAATTATTTTAATAAATATATATTTAAATTAAAAAAATATTTAAAAATATTAATAAATATTAAATAGGAAAATATATTTTAATTATTATATATTAAAAAATTTTTTTTAAATTATATTATAAAATTTTAAAATATTATTATTTATTTTAATTAAAATAAATTAACCTTTATTAAATAATTTTATAATAAATTTAAATAAAAAATTAAAAAAAAGCTTATAATATTAATTAAATAATTTATATTTTAATTTTTTTTATAAATATTTATATTTAAGTTAATAATGTAATATATTAATTTAAAATTAATATTATTTAATAATATTAATAAAATAAATATTAAATTAATTAAAATAAAAAATAATATAAAAAAGTTATTTAAAAATATTAATAATAAATTAAAAAAAATACACTTTAATATTATATAAAAAATTTTTTTAAATATTATATTTATAATAAATTAAATTATATAATTAAAAATTATAAAACTTTAAAAAAAGTTTATTTTATAAAGAAAAATTAAATCATAATATTTTTATAATAAGTAAATAGCCTTATATAAAAAAACTTTAATTTTAAATTAAAAAATATTATTTTAAATTGAAAAAAATTATTTTAAATATAAAAATATTTAAAAAAAATAATATTTAAAAAAATAATTATAAAAAAAATTTATAAAATTATAAAATACTTTTAGTTTTTTAATATATTATAAATATTATTAACTTTAAATATAATTTATTAAAAGTTAAAAAAACTAATAAATTTTAAGTTTAATTAAATATATATATTAAAAAAACTTTTATAATAATAGATTTTATAAATAATTTAAAATATAAATTTTATATATTAATAAATAAAAGCTTATATATATATATAATATTAATAAAATTTTTAAAATATATAAAATCTATTAATATATTTAAAAAAACTACTTTTAAATTAATTTTAATAATTAATATTAATAAAAAATATATTAAATTAATTATATTAAAAAGGAAAATATAATTAATTATAGTTATCAAAAGTTTTTAATAAATTATAAATGTAAATTTTATTTACATTATATAATTTTATTTAATAAAAAATTAATAACTATAGTTATAATAAAAGGTTTTAACTTAAATTATTAACTGTTTTATAAAATAACTTTAAGTTATATAAACTAAGGTTTTTTTATTATAGTTATAATTAAAATAGCTTTATATATCTTTAAAAAACTTTAAGTTTTTTTAATTAATTTTATAATTTAATTTAGTTAAATATTTAATAAAACCTTAATAAAAATTAATAAAATAATAAAAGAATTATTAAAGAAAACTTTATATAAGTTTTCATTTATTAAAAACTTACTTTTAAAATATATAAAAAAATAATAAATAATTAATTAATATTATTTTATAAATTTTAAAAAACTTTTAATAAAAATATAATATAATAAATTATAAAATTTATATATAATAAATAAAACTTTATTATAACTTTAAAAATTTAAATTAAAAAAATTATAAAAATAAAAAATATAAATAATATATATATAATAAAATTAAAAATTAATATTAAAAAAATAAAAATTATTTTTTATAAAAAGAAATTAAAAAATTTAATAATATTTTATAATTTTTAATAAAAAATATAATTATAATAATAATAATAAAGTATAGCTTTTTATTAAATTAACTATTATAATATTAAAACTTTTATTTTAATATTAAATTTAACTTTTATAACAATAATAATAATAAAAAAATATTAAAATAAAAAAAGTTATTATTAAAATATTATTAAATAAATTTTTTTTTTAAAATTATAATAAATATTAAAGTACATAATAATTATATTTTTATAAAAACTATAATTTATTTAAGGTTATTATAAAAATATAAAAAAAATAAATAAATTATATTATATTAAAAAATAACTTTTTAATTATAATAATAAATAAATTAAAAAATAAATTCATTATTTATATTTTAAAATTATATATTATAAAATTTTAATTATATATAATATTATAAATATTTTAAAATATAATATTATTTTAAAAATACTATAGTTAAATAAATATAAATTTAATATATAATACTATAGAAACATAGTTCGTTACAGTAGTGCTAAACTTATTTAATATATTGCTTAGTTTATAAAGAGTCAATATCTAGCTCTAACTCCCGCCGACGGTGGATTTTAATTCTAGCAACAGGACTAGCAGCATATGTTAATCCTAGTACCATTGGTGCTATATTTGAACCCGGCACCAATTCCCATTCATACTTCAGCAAGAGATGGCAAAGTATAATCTTGATCTCGTAAGCCGCAAAGAAACGTCCAGGGCATGCATGCTCCCCATGCCCAAACGCTAGGTGATCAGGGCTTGTTACCACTAACTGTGCGAACTTTGACTTTTCGGGCTGCTCGCTGATTCTGAGGAATCTGTAGGGGTCCCATTTCTCAGGCTCCTTGTGTAGCTCGGGATCATTCATCCGATATGTGTCAATGGCAATTCTGTCTCCCACTTTAAGAGCAAGACCATTGGATAGTGTAAGAGGCTTCTCAGCACGTCGTCGCATAGATGCTAAAACCATCATGATCTCTAATTAGCTTGGATTGCGCATTTAGAATCACCAACTATTTTAACTGAGTTCCAACTTACCCAGACCAGGCGGCTTGTGCCGTTGCGACTCTTTGAGGGCGCTGTCTAAGAGCTTCATATCATGTAATGCTGATTTCTTCATACCTGTAGTTCGTAGGACGTGTACAATTTCCTGGCGGATTGGAGCTACGAACTCTGGATTGAGAGCTAGATCTATTATAAATTGTGTGACTAGGTCCGTTGTCGTGTGAATTGCCGCCACAGCTAGCATAAGCTGCATGATAGCAGGATCATAGCCAACCCCTCTAGCAGCGGCCTCCCGATCAGCCCAATCAATCGCGTCGTCGAATTCTGGAATCTTTTCACCAGCAGTCAAAGCAGCAGCACGAGCCACGCGACGCCTGTGGATAGCTGGCATGATGATACGTCGTGATTCATTGAAGCTCGCACGAAGTTCTCTGCACTTTGGTACGAACCAATGGAGGAGCGGGCGCAGAGGACGAGGTATCATGCGCAAGTGGGTACCGGCGACAAAAAAGTTGATCGTGTATTCCTTAGTGGCGCGAAGCCAGTCTTCGTTCCGACAAAGATCTTTACCCAAGAAAACACGGGCTGAAAGTCGTGCAACGACATCGACGATAACTGATTTTAGTTCAATCTCTCGCCACTCTGAAGCAAGTTAGTATGTATCAAATAGGAACCGGACTGGTAAGCTTTCCTTCTGAATCACCCAAATTAATGGAAAGCGAGTGGGTGGCTTCGACAGACATCGGATTTATTACTTGGGCTACATACAGAAAGGCCCTGTCAGTTATACAATCCAGGCTAGCCCAACCACTTTTCCGCTTTAACTTTACTTACCAATAGACTTGGTGAGTTCTTTCCTCACTATCGTCTGAAGAACCGAATCATTGTATGTATGCACTGCTGCACCCTGGAAACCAGGCAGGCTGCCATGAAAATCCTAAGAAGTTGCAGTCAGATATTGTGGCATGCCCAAGGGATACATAGTTATACTTCGCCGAAAGCAGATCCAAAACTAAGCCTTGGATCATTTCTGATTTCGTCGGCCAGCCCGACGGGGAGGAAAACGATCTCGCCCAGATCTGTGATCATGCGATATGGACTTTGAGGGAATAGTGCTCTGCCTTTAGCCAAGAGCTCTTTGCTTCTAAACACGAATGCGGTCTTGAGGGAGATAAGTTAGTTAGAGACCAACCATGTGGCTATTAACATGTTTCAAGACTATGACGACCTTAGACTTGATATCGAGGAGAGAAAATCCATCAACAGGCTTTAGTAGGGGCAAATGCTCCAGATTGCGATGGGTAGGAAAATACAAAAGCACAGGAATACCAGCCAAGATTAATATAACAAGGCATAGGCACAAGATAGGGTTGCTGTGAACCCAGCTCATCAGAGCTAGAAACCTCTGCGAAAGAGCCATCACAGTGTATCATACGGATAAATTAAAACAGATGTGGCAGGACAAAGTTCCTAACCGATAAAAAAGCAATAAAAAGAATCAGGCAAGTGCTGATATTTTGCTGCGTCGCTGCTAGAGTGGTCTTACTTGCAGCGTCAAGAAGCGTACAAAGTCGTTTCAAGTAAATATTTCAAAGGGCGAAGAAAAAGGGCCGTTGGTATTTAAATAAGGTAAACCCCAAAAATAGATCCGTGTTGTGTCTTTTAGTCGCCGACTGTTAGTCGTTTGTAGCAAGTACTGCTTACTACTGAAGTGAACTGATCTTTTTTTTAAAGACGACTTGGAGCGGACTCATTGTTCGGAGTATTGCGGGGTCACTAATTTATTACGTTATGGGCGTATATCTCTTTGTATAATATTCCGACTTCGTGAACCATTCCTACTTTGTGAAAAGCTCCGACAAGAGGATCAAGTTATTTTCCATTTGGATTGGATATCGACTCAGGGTATCCGGTAGCAAGTATAAAAATGCATCGTTCCCGCCGTTTATCTCTCTTATTCAAGCTTCAACTATCAAACAAGCCACTCGCCAAGCATATCTCGTCACCAACCATTTCTGCCAAGAGTAACCGATATAATCAGTGCAATCATGGTATCAAACGCAAGTGATTCTTCCGAGCAGTTTCTCGTGGCCGTGTGTGGCCTTGGTATACGGGCCCCTGGAGGGATTCGGAATGCTGCTGGGTTCTGGGACCTCCTCGTAAATGGAAAGGACGCTAGAGGTCCCATCCCTGAGACAAGGTACAATATTGACGGCTTCAATGACTCACTTGGTGGCGCAAATACTATCAAAACAAGATTTGGCTATTTTATAGACGATGATCTTACCTGTATCGACACGTCTCTATTTTCAATGTCCAGAAAGGAAGTTGAAAGATGTGATCCTCAGCAGAGACTTCTTCTCGAGGTTGCTAGAGAAGCCCTCGAAGATGCAGGCGAGGTCAATTATCGTGGGGAGCGTGTTGGATGCTATGTGGGTACTTTTGGAGATGACTGGGCACAAATTGCTGGAAAGGAAACTCAGCATCAAGGTGGGCTCGGTTATGTTGCCACTGGAAATGGCGATCTCATGCTGTCAAATCGAATTTCCTACGAGTATGACTTGAGAGGTCCAAGGTTTGTTGCAAGATGAGAAGCCTTACAAAAATCTTTCAGCTAATAATTGATAGCATGACCATCAAAACGGGATGCTCTGCGTCTCTTGCTGCCCTCCATGCAGCATGTCAAGCAATTCGACAAGGTGATGCCACCGCGGCCATTGTTGGGGGATCGAGCTTAATTATGACCCCCACGATGACAGCCGCCTTCACCGCTGAAGGAATTCTCTCACCCGAAGGTTCATGTAAGTCATTTGATGCGAGCGCCGATGGATTCGCTAGGGCCGAGGCAATCAACGCAATATACATCAAACCCCTTACAGCAGCAATCCGCGACGGCAACGCAATCAGAGCCGTAATCAGAGCGACAGGTGCAAACAGTGATGGGCATAGCCAGGGACTGTTCACGCCGAACCTAGAGGCACAGGAAGCACTCATGCGGAAGATCTACCAGGATGCTGGTTTAGATCCGGCTCTAACAGGATTCGTCGAGGTAGTTAATTATCTCCCTCGAGACTTTTTGACTCTGACTAATTTGTGCGTTCAGTGCCACGGAACAGGCACAGCAACAGGAGATCCTATAGAGACATCGGCTGTAGGAAATATCTTTGGCGAAAAGGGCGTCTATATTGGCTCTGTGAAACCTAATGTCGGGCATTCTGAGGGAGCCTCAGGCCTCAACAGCTTGATTAAAGCTGTCCTGGCTCTCGAACACAAAATAATTCCCCCAAACATCAAATTTAACAATGCTAATCCCAAAAGTAAGCATTAATATCCTAGTCTATAACTGAGCCTTGCTAATTCAATTCTAGTTCCGTTCGCAGAGAGGAAACTGAAGGTGCCAACAGTCCCAACTCCTTGGCCCAAAGACCGTGCTGAGCGAATCAGCATTAATTCATTTGGTATCGGCGGCACAAATGCCCATGTAAGTTGAGAATTCTCTGGGGCCCTTCATACAGAGCTCATAAATCTACAGGTTGTCCTTGAATCGTACAATCAGCCTGCACCAGCATCGAGTGGAGACACTGAACTGCGTCCAGAACTTTTGATCTTTAGCGCAAATACGGCTGTTTCTTTGAAAGACCAAGTCAATCAATACCAAGAGTTTGTACGGTCGAATCCTGGACTGAGCAACCGTAATCTGGCCTACACACTCTCTATGAGGCGCGAGAAACTTCCCCACAGGGCCTACGGTATAATTCAAGATAAAGAATTTGTTGAGATATCCAGCCTTGTCAAGGCACCAGCCAAGGCACCCAATGTGTATCTAATTTTCAGCGGACAAGGGGCTCAATGGCCTGAGATGGGAAAGGAGCTGGCTCTCACAGATGCGCCTTTCTGTGACGATCTTCGTAAAATGGACGGCATTCTTAGGCAATTAGCTCACCCTCCGAGCTGGTCTCTGATAGGTAAGAGGAAAATATTTCAGGAAATATTGACGGAGAGTGCTGACAACTTCGACAGAGGAACTGCTTAAGCCGGCCGAAACCAGTAAGATTGGTACTGCGGAATTATCTCAGCCATTATGTACCGCTATTCAAATTGCCCTTGTCAACAAGATCCGGTCAGTAGGCATCAAACCTGCGGCTGTTACGGGCCACTCCAGCGGTGAGATCGCAGCTGCATATGCTACGGGTGCAATAACCATGGAGGCGGCCATCATCTTCGCATATTATCGTGGTTATGTGGCAAAGCAGCAGACACTCCGGGGATCTATGGCTGCTGTTGGCTTAGGGCCGCAAGAAGTCAACAAATTTCTAGTTGATGGCGTGGTAGTTGCTTGCGAAAACAGTCCAAAGAGCTGCACTATATCTGGAGACTTGGAAAAAGTTTTCACTGTCATTTCTCAGATCAAGGCTGAAATGCCCGACACACTAGCTCGGCCACTAAAGGTTGATATGGCATATCATTCTCGTATGTAATACTGATTTTACTTTTGCTTGTCCTTATTACTGACGTTGACCTAGATCATATGACAGCCCTTGGAAAAGTGTACATAACACTGCTTAAAGACGAGCTGGAGAAGTTAGGAAAGTGGTCTAACAATGCGACAACTGCATTCATATCCAGTGTAACAGGTGGCTCTTTGGATGACAACTTCATTTTCGGCCCGGAATATTGGCGAACGAATTTAATATCTCCTGTTCACTTTACGGCAGCAGTGACAAAGCTTCTTGATCTTCATGGGGATGGCGTGTTCCTAGAGGTTGGGCCTCACTCAGCGCTGGCTGGCCCTTTAAGGCAGATTTGCGCAGATGCTTCTCGGACGTGTAATTATGCAACATGTTTAACCCGTGGAGAAAATGCGGTAAAGGCGCTGTTTTCATCGTTTGGCAAGCTATTCCAGGAGGGCGTTGACATGAACTTTGCCTCTCTCTATCCTGGGGGCAAAGTGCTTACCGATCTTCCAACTTACGCATTCGACCACAGCCTGACTTTATGGTACGAAAGCAGAGTTTCTCAGGCTTGGCGGCTGCGGAAATACGCTCATCACGCTCTACTCGGATCACGGGTTGCTGAGTCGCCGGAGACAGCGCCCCAATGGCGCAATATACTGTCTCTAGACCACGAACCATGGATCATCGATCACAAGGTTAAGCAAGATGTCGTCTTTCCTTTTGCCGGGTACGTAGCGATGGCCGGTGAGGCGGTGAGGCAAATGACGGGCATCGAGACTGGATACAGTATACGACATGCGGTGGCTCATGCTGCTGTAGTTCTCACACTGGAAAAGGGCATCGAATTGATGACTACCCTGCGCCGCCACCAGCTTACAGACTCTGATCACTCGGAATGGTTCGAGTTTACCATCTCATCTTATAATGGTGCCACTTGGATGAAGCATTGCGAAGGGCAAGTCAAGGCACTTGAAGAAGAGTGTACAAGTGACTTAACACGACAAAATTATCCTCGGAGAGTGCCTTCTTCACAGTTCTATGATTACATGTCGGATGTGGGTATCAATTTTGGGCCTGAATTCTGTCGCCTTGAGAACATCACCGCATCGCCAAATGAGGCCCTAGCTTCAGCAGATATTACTGTGCCTAGTAAGGAGCAAAATAAGCCCTACATAATGCATCCAACGGCGATTGATGCTTGTTTCCAGCTTCTGATCCTGTCTTATGCTAAGGGCCTGGGACGGAATGTCACACAGCTATCAGTTCCGACACTCATTGGGAATTTAGATATCCGCAGAGGCGGCGGTTCTCTGGTTGCAAAAGCCTGGGGTTCGACCCAAACAACGACAGAAGGTGTCGAATGTGTCTCGGATGGAAAGCTGGCCCTTCGTCTCACCGGTTTTAAACTAACTGCTCTTGAGGATGGCAATGATGTCAGCTATGATGAGTACGCTGCGGCTAGACTTGAGTGGCTGCCAGATTTTGACTTTGTTGACGTAGCTCCTCTTTTCAAGGCTCCTCCATCTAATCGGGAGGAGATAGCCATGATAGAAGAGCTGACACTTCTTTGTATTATTGAAAGCGCTGAAAAGCTAGAGGGGCTATCTCCAGCACAACCTCATTTCCTCAAGCTACGTGATTGGCTTCATAGAGAGGTACAGAGCGCCAAAGAAGGCAAAAATCTCTTGGTCCCGGATGCTGTAAAATTTCTCACAATGCCACGGGCCGAGCGGAAGGCTTTGATAATCAGTCATCACCGAAAGCTCTCGAATGGAAGCAAATCAGGTCTTGCAGAGGGTATGAAGCGCATGGTCGATAACTATGAGCGCGTCTTCACGGGCGAGGCGGACACTATTGATATTTTAATGGAGGGCGGAGTGCTAGCGGAGCTATACAATGCTATGAGCTTCGGGTATAGCGACTTCGTTAAGCTGATGTCTAGTACAAAACCCAAGCTCCGAATTTTGGAAGTCGGTGCTGGCACCGGTGGCACGACAGAGCTTATCCTGCGCGACTTGATGCATGAAGGGGGTCTTCCTCGATACTCTAGTTACACCTTTACCGATGTTTCCGCTGGTTTCTTCCCATTAGCCAAAGAGCGTTTTGCCTATGCCTCCAATATGGAGTACAAGGTGTTCGACATCTCCAAGGACCCTCTTGAACAGGAGCTCCCAGAATCGTCATATGACGTGATTTTTGCTGCGAACGTTGTGCACGCTACTCCCTCGCTAAAAGATACTCTAAGTAACCTCAACAAGGTGCTGAAGCCGGGTGGTATTCTCGTACTGACAGAAATCTGCACCGAGTTGCGGTCGCCAACATACATCTTTGGTAATTTTATTGGTTGGTGGTTGGGCGAGGATGACGGACGTCGCTATACACCTTATGTGCCCCCCTCCCGATGGCATGATGAACTACTTGCCTCAGGTTATACTGGGGTAGAGACCGCAGTATATGACGAAGAAGCACCGTATATGTGTTGCACTACAATTATGTCAAGGAAAGTTCGTGAATTACAACCGCGGGCGAAAACCGTATCTCTCATCACCACGGATGTTAAGGGTGATATTGCTACGGCACTAGCCCAGGCGTTGAAAAATGCAAAATACAGTGTTACGCCTGTGAGATTGGGTGATCAGTTGCCCGAGGGTCAAGATATAATCTCCTGCGTCGATATTGAGAGGAACTTTTTTGAGAACATTCAAGAAGATGACTTCTATGCTTTCAGAGAGATTATTCGCTCTCAAACTACTGAGCAAAATCTCCTGTGGCTAACAAGTCCTGTTCAGATCAAATGCAAAGACCCACGCTCAGCGCAGACGATCGGAGCTGCCAGGACTATCCGAACAGAATTAGCGGTCCCTTTTCATACGCTGGAAATAAGTATAGCAGAGCCGAACTTCAACGACCTCGTGTTAAAGGTGTTCAATAAGATTCTGCAAGAAGAAGATGATGACTACCTCGTTTCTGATAAAGAGTTTGTTGTCGATAATGGTACTATTTGTATTGGACGTTATCATCCCTTCTCTTTGCAGGATGAGCTCTCGCAGAAGAGTATCGCCGGGCATGAGACTATCAAGTCTTTGCAAATCGGGAAGATTGGGAGCATTGAATCTCTGTACTGGGCAGAGCAAGCGCTACCAAAAGAAATTCCCGCCGATACCATTGAAGTTGAGCCAAAATCCATTGGTCTTAATCTTAAGGATGTTCTCACTGCTAGTAAGTAACGCTTCCTTCTTGTAAATCGTCAATAGTGTTGAAAGAAACCGACTAACATAGAATACTTTAGTGGGAGTCATTAACCCTGTGGGTAGTGTCCAAATGGAACTCGGTATTGAACTTGGCGGAGTCGTCACCCGCGTCGGCGCGGACGTCGATGAGTTCAAGATTGGTGATCGTGTCTTCGCATTTGCTCCCGAAGGATGTTTGGCTACAAAGGCAATTTTGCAACGATATCACGCTGCAAAACTGCCAGACAGTCTTAGCTTCCAGGATGCTGCTGGTGTACCCGTCGTGTTCGCGACCGTGATACATGGTCTCATCAATATTGGTAATCTCCAAAAGGGCCAGACTGTTCTAATCCATGCAGGCTGTGGTGGCGTCGGATTGGCTGCTATCCAGATTTGCCGGATGATAGGCGCTGAGATGTTTGTGACAGTTGGGAGCCAGGATAAAGTCGACTACCTCGTGAAGACGTACGGAATTGCTCGTAATCGCATCTTCAACTCTCGTGATGAGACTTTCCTGGATGGCATCATGAAGGAGACAGGAAATCGCGGCGTTGATTTAGTTCTCAACTCTTTGACTGGCCCTTTGTTGCACGCGTCATGGAAATGCGTAGCAGAGTTCGGTATCATGGTTGAAATCGGAAAGCGTGACCTTCTCGGATACGGAAAGTTGGATCTCAATCCTTTCATCGGAAGTCGCCAATACGTTGGTTTCGATGGAGTTCAGTTCGCCCGAAAGCGACCAAGGTATTTCCGACAGTTGCTGGAACAATTCCTCAAATATCGGGAGCAGGGACATATCCATCCAATTTCCGAACAGACTCATTTTCACGCCAGCGATGTTATCAATGCATTCCGCCACCTGCAACATGGCAGTCACATTGGCAAAGTCATCGTCTCAATGGACGACGCAACCGCTTGTGTGGAAGCCAAGCCGCTGGCCAAAGGTATCACTTTCGATCCTAAAGCAAGATACCTCTTAACGGGAGGCCTAGGAGGTCTTGGAAAGGCAATGTCCACATGGCTAGTTGAGCATGGCGCCCGCTCATTGACTATTCTCTCTCGGAGTGCTGGTGTTACTGAAGAAAGCAAGTCCGCTATCAAAGAACTCGAGTCGCTTGGTGCAGAGGTTATTACTATCGCCGGTGGCGTTGAAGATATGAAGATCGTTGAGGCGGCCGTCAATTCGTCAACGAAACCGATCAAGGGTGTTTTCCACCTAGCAATGGTGCTGAGAGATAGCCCTATGGTCGATATGACTTGGAATCAGTGGGATGAAGTAACAAAGCCCAAAGTCAATGGTGCGTGGAACTTACACCACGCACTAAAAGACCATTCTCTAGACTTTTTCTGGCTAGCCAGCTCTGTCGTCACTGTCGTTGATCAACCAGGCCAGGGCAACTATAGCGCCTCCAACACTTTCCTCGAGGCCTTCACCCAATACAGAGTCAGGCTTGGTTTACCAACTGCCATTTTAAACATCTGTCCTATTAAGGGTGTGGGTTTTGTAGCAGAAAGTGCTGTTGCGCAGCGAAACACTAAGGCACAGGGTATTTATTTCCTTGGTGAGAGAAAGTACCTTGATTACCTTGAGCACTCAATTTTTGCCGCAAAAGGAAACACCAGCGATCATGAATCTGCTCCCTCTAGCCAGCCTCCAAAGGCTTGGAAGAATGACAGTCAGATTGTTATGGGTCTCCGATCCGAGCTGCATCTGGAAGATCCGAACAATCGCTGTAATTGGAGGCGTGACCGACGAATGGGAGCCTATCACAATATTCGAAGCCAGCAAGACGAAGCGGCAGGTGGTGACTCAAATGCACTCAAGGCGTTCTTGGCCAAAGCGTCAGAAAACCCGGATATCCTCGCAGATAAGTCAAATCACGAATTTTTGGCTTTGGAAATAGGTGCAAAGGTGTATGATTTTATGCTTAAGCCAGGTGAGGAGGTAGATACGAGTCTGAGTTTGACTCAGATTGGACTTGATTCGTTGATGGCTACCGAGCTAAGGCGATGGTTTAGACAGCTGCTGGGTCTTCACATTAGTGTGCTTGAAATCATGGCGTCAGGGTCTTTGTTGCGACTGGCAGAGATAGCTTCGGAGAGCTTGAAAAACAAGTATACGGGAGCCTAGGGTGAATTTGGTGTCTACCAAATAGAATTGCCCAAAAAGAAATGTATAATAACAAGTAGAACTGCAGCAGTTAGACTAAGATACGAATGATAATATAATAACGTTTAGTTATTTACCTGGAAACTTCATTACGATTTCCATTTCCTAATCTTAATGTTTTGAAAATTCGCTATCTTCACGTAGAGACTTATTGTAGCTTTTACACATATAACGTTTAGACAACGTGAATTTTTGTTAGTTGAATATAGCCTTTTTCACGCAATATATACTGTTTTCAGTAGGAATACCCATACCGGAGATTAGGATGAAAAGTCTTCAAGCTGTTCGGCTGATTTCCGTGCGGAGTATTGGCCCATTCTAGCATGATTTTTAGTTTATGCCCATGTCTCTATATTCTGTGCGTCTATAGTCATGGCAAGCAAAAGATGACCTCCGTATGCAGGTACATGATCTATATGTATATATGGGCCCTACAGTTAATGATACTACGTACTTGAGTACGCTGGATGTCCCAGGAATTCTACATTTCGGCGCTCCAAGGCGGTCTTTGCCTGTGGTCTTTCCCTCTGCCCTCATAGGCCCATTCATAATGTTGTTTCAAACTTCGATTTTGTTCTTGCTGTCTTTGCTCCCATCAATTGTTGTGGTCCAGGCACAGAGTTGTAGTGCTTCCAATCCATGCAAGACTGGATGCTGCAGCAAGTTCGGATTTTGTGGACTTGGCCCAGACTGTAAGACATACCATTCTCATTCAACTGGTGCTGAGAATTCTAGAGAACTTAACTAATGTGGAATTCAGATTGTGCTTCAAAAATCTGCGTTGCAAACTGTGACAGGAAAGCGGAGTGCGATCCTGGTGGTTACGGAGCCGCCTATGTCAACCATACAACATGCCCTCTCGACGTTTGCTGCTCCAAATGGGGTTTCTGCGTTTTGACACAGGAATTTTGTGGAGATAAAAAAGTGACTCAGCCTTCATGTTCTACTACCTTTCACAAGTTCGAGCGCGTTGTAGGCTACTATGAGGGCTGGGCAATGCAACGCGAGTGCAATGTTTTTAATCCAGAGAAGATTCCTCTGGGGGTCTACACGCATCTTAACTACGCCTTTGCCACAATAGATCCCAAGACATTTGAAGTACTGCCAGCCACGGTAGAGGATCAACAGGATACTTACGATCGAGTCACATGGCTAAAGAAGAGAGATCCTGATCTGAAAGTATTTATCGCTATCGGAGGGTGGACTTTCAACGATGAGGGTCAACCGACCAGAAACACGTTCTCGAATATTGCCAATAACCCACAGAATCAAAAGGCATTCACCAAATCTCTGATTAGCTTTATGTCTACGTATGACTTTGATGGCGTTGACTTGGACTGGGAATATCCAGAGGCCCCAGACCGTGGGGGCATTGGAGCGGATTATGATAATTTCCCAAAATTCCTATCTAACCTGAAATCGTCTTTGAAGGCTACCGGCGGCCGAGATAGATTAAGCGTCACACTTCCAGCCTCATACTATGCGTTGCCAAACATCTTTAGCATGCATTAGTAGAAATATTCGTGCTGACAAAACACTCAGGGTACCTCCAGCACTTTGAGATCAAAAAGATGGCAAAGATTGTTGATTTTTTCAACGTGTGAGTTAGACTTAGCCGTCCCCAATCCTACCCCCTTTATTTCCATTAGCTAACAATTTACCAAAGGATGTCCTACGACCTGCACGGCGTTTGGGATATGCCAAACAAATGGGTAGGGCCTTATTTGAATGCCCACACCAACTTAACCGAGATAAAAGATGCACTCGATCTTTTGTGGCGGAATAACATCCCCTATGATAAAGTTAACATGGGTCTAGCGTTTTATGGACGTGGTTTCACGGCAGCTGACCCCAAATGCCTAACCCCTGGTTGTCGGTGTATGTGATAGCCTCGCTTCAACAAGAAAGACCACTGCTAATATTGTGATTCATAGATGCATCCGGCTCAGAACCGTGGATGTGCAGCCACGAAGTTGGAATCGTGTTCAACTCCGAGATATCTGACATCATGCAATCACAAAATGCCACGCCCGTTCTATATAAAGATGCAGCCGTGAAAGTTCTCACGTATAATACTAACCAGTGGGTGGCGTTTGATGATGAAGAAACACTAGGTCTGAAGTTAAATTTCGCAAAATCCAAATGGTGAGCCTCCTTTAGGAGTAATAGAGTCTCTGGAGAATGAGTTTTACGGTTTCCTGGTCGGATAGTGACTGACCTTCTCTCAGCTTGGGAGGTGTCATGGTCTGGGCCGTATCCCACGAGACTGAGAATGCGACCTATTCAACCGCGTTAGGAAAACTTGCTCAGAGATCTACGACCTCACTAATCAACATTGGAATCGACAACGGAGTGCATCAGTATGAGCGTGTTCAGAATCATCCACAGTGCAAATGGTCTAATTGTGGTGAAGGTGTGTTTTACCCCTCCCCTTGGCTCTCTTTGGCGATCTGCCTGTGTCTTTTACGGGTTCTATACTCAGTCCTTAATGCCTCAAAATGACTCCATGGATTTCTTTTATATTTGCTCCTTATTCTTCTTCATATGATATTTAGTTCTCGCCGAGTTTTTGTTGACCAGTCGACCACAAGGTTGCCCTGCTGGGTGGTCTCCAATTCAACGGAGCGATCCCAATGCGCGCAATGGCGAGATCATGATCGACGATCAGGGTTGTGAAGGCCAAGGTTCCCATTATCTGTGTGGCCTTGGCTTCAGGGCGTGGAATGATGAAATAGCCGCGGCATCCTTGGGCGGTGGGTTGGGATCAGTGCTATGCCAGACGCAGGTGCAGAGCGGTTACTGTGAAGATTTATCCGACGAGCCTGATAATGGATTTCCTGAAAAGCGAACTGAGACTAGGGATTATCCTTGGACAACAAGTGTGGCACCTACAGCAGAACCCTTGTTTCTCAACCTGTGAGTCAAAAAAAAAAAAAAAAAAAAAAGACATTTCATCGTATTTCGTTAACATGAGGCTGACTATCTCCAGTACCGTCAAGTAAATGATTGGCCCTACATTGATATTAGATTCAACGAGATCTATTCGCAAGTCTTCCTTTTCCCCGGCCCAGGCTGCACAAACTTCGTCCTTCGCGTAGAGGATCGGTGGAACCAAAGGAGAAACGGTGACTTGGAAAATGTAGTTAGTAAGTGAGCTCTGAGTTTCGATTGAACAACTTTCTTAAGATGCCTTCTCTAACAAGAATGTAGCCGAGCATCTCGTTGAACTACAAACGGTAAAGATGTGGTATACAGCCGCAATTCAAGGCGTTTTAGCTACTGAGCTGGGTGTCCCAGCGCTGCCTAACCCAGCTGGCCCTATAGATCCATCATTTTTCATGGTTACCTTGCCCCGCGCAAATGGACCTTTTCTCTTCAACCCCCCTCCCCCACCTCCAACTGGTGGTCCGCTGTTGTCGACAATGGAGGCCCGATTATTCAATGCTCTAGGTAGCGTGGCGAATTGGGGAAGCTTCCTTCTCGCAGATAGCGAATTGAACTGTCTCAAAGAAAAAGTAACTAATCCTCCTATCCCCTCTAACATCAATGATATGCTAACTCTCTTCTTAGCTTTGGAATGACAAAACAAAACATTTTATTGGTGAAACTATGATGAGAGACATGGCCCGTTCAACAGATTCTGCGGATGCGAATATCGCACTGAATAGTATTCGTAATGTAAGTGTCTCCAGTACCGTACATTGGACAGACTTTATTTTGAGAGCCTAATATCCTGATACAATTCTCCAGCTTGTGGTGATCGTGAGCTTCCTCAACCATCCAACAGTCCACAACTACATGGCAGCCATCGTAATGGACTTCCGAAGAGAGTTGAGAATAGGTGAACGAGTTCATTTTGGGTTAACAGGGACAACAGTTGCAGCAGTGGATAGTTTCACTAACTATTTCGGGAGCCTGATGACAAGAATCGATACGCGAGTTGCGAATTGGGCGGCGCGGTGGTTAAACGTAATTGATGCGACATGGAATGGCGTTAACACTCCAGCTGGAATCCAAATCAGGAGTGCTAGTGCCTCCCTCCGCACCCAGGCTCAAAATGCGGCGGTCAATACCCAAGGTTTCTTTGATCCTGTATGAATACTTTAATTTTATAGCAATCCCAGAGCGTCAGCTACAATAGCTATAATAGAATTTACAGAAATTGATGAGCCTAATAGAATCCAAGGAGATAATGAACAATCAGTTTTCATGATTTTAAAGGATTATATACCATTTCCTTTTCTCATGGCATAATTTATAATGCTCCACTACACACTTTAGAATAAAACCATTGTATTCGAAGATGCAGCACGGGATGCCCGTCTGATCTCATTACTAGTGCGTGCTAATGTACTCCACCATCGCATGGTATCCCAGTTTTTCTTGTCTTCTTCTACCAAAGATTGCCAGTCGGTGGTAACGTAGCCCAAAGCACTCTCGAAAAAAAGGAACCGTAATGACCTCAATCGGATGCGGATCCAAGGAGGGAATTCTTGCACATCCCCCTCCTCCCTGTCGATGGCGGTTTCTCGATCCAGGATCCATACCCAGTTATCGCGGAGAATCTGTGCCACTTGCTCGCTTTCAGGGCTAAATATGGGAAGAGGCACCACTGGCGGGGTGTCTGCTGGAAGCCCCTCGAGCATTTCAAGGACTCTTCCGTCAATTATCAAGCAAGTCTCATAGCGCATGTTTCTCCGGCGGTCCTCCTCGTACTGCGGGCCGGTGTTGATGTTGAAAGACTCTACTCTAGCGGCGAAGTCTCGGCCAATGGGACTGAAATCCTCGCTGCCTTCTGGCTCGGTAATCATTTCCTGGGCGTCTGGGTATTCTTCTACCACCTCATTCCACATTCGCGCTGCGACTTCATTCGTAACATCAGGTTCACCAGGCGCTGGCATATAGTCTGGGTATTCCTCCCATCTGGCTGCCTCGTCGTCGCTGTTATAACGCGAGTCCCTAGCCTCCCATCTGAGCCATTTCTCAAGGCGATTCAGGCCCTCAGCAAAACGAGCATCGGTCCCGTCGCCAAAAACGGCACGGTAAATGAAGAATCCCCATCCGTATGGGACGCGAGGGTCAAAATTTTCCGGTTGGATAGCTTCCAGGTCACCCCGAATTGGCCTGTTATTTTCAATGGATGATTTTGAGGGATTGTCTGGATACACAGGGTCGGTGAGATCCCGCGAAATGGGCTCAAAAACTGGCTGGGCCCGTGATGATGACATGTTCAAAGAATCGGAACCGTGGAGGATTTGCCAAACTAAGGTTCGCAATCAACTACACGGGAAACGAGGGGGCATATAAATACGCCTATTTTCTAGCTTGGCACCAGTTCATGCATAAAAAGCGGACCAAGACGGGCTGTTGCTGTTGGTTCCTCTCAGGGTTCCATACGCTACAGTAGTTAAGTGCAAGGAAGTTTTTGCTGGATTAGCATTAGCGCCGTCTACTTTTATTAACCAATTTGATGGCATGGGACTTTTGCTTAGAAAGAGTGCTTTTGTGAAGACAATTTGGCATCAGCTCATCTTTAATGCCACAAAGCAGCATTGTCTTGCCCTTTCCCGGATCTCCCTTAATCCAGAGTAATCTATTTTGCTCATTATCATGCCACTGTTTGAAGGCCTGATTCTCGAAATCCAATTGTAAGATTCTTTAAGAAGTCCACCCTTTGTCTGTTGGATGCGTATTTTGTCATCGCGGGGATCGGTCGGCCTCAGATCTTTCAGGCATTGATCCTTTTGGTCCGTCACGGTATTTTGTATATTGCCCTGATAGGCGGTGAAGTTATCTCCGAAGTTGTTGTTGTTGTTGGCGATATTTCGTGGGTCTAAGCGTGCGGAAATCATGATTGGAATTTTGCGAAAGAGAAAATGCACAGATTCTCGACACCTGAAGCTGTTGGGCTTGCAGCCTTGCATTCGGCTCTTGTGATGGACATGTAAGCCAACCCCTCACTCCAGCATGGCGTATATAACCAATCATATCCTCTATAGTTTTTTAAGGCTATTCAGCTGTTCTGTATTATCAAATGCTACAATAGTATTTAAATACAAAGGAATGCCTACCTACATGTATTCAGCAGCAGGCGACTACCGTGTCACATATCATAGCGAGATACATACAGAGGAAATTATTTCTTCTCCGCCACCAATGTATTTTAAATTACACATACTTGGTACTATCAATACTCTTTTCTACTACCTCTACCATCGCTAAATTCCGCTATATTGTTATTATTACTATATGTGTTTTTAAATTCGAGACACGGGATGCTACCTACAAAATACATACACCTCATAATTACTAATTTACTATACTTTACTGATACTTGCCTCTCCGCATACATGTATTTGATGCAGGAGATAGTTCGTCCACCTAAGCGAGATAAAACTGTGTTGCAGGAAAAATCACAATATATTTCCATAAAACTTGGAGGTGAAGCATCAAAATAATACCTAATAATATGGATAATCATAAGCCCGCATCAGCCAGACATTGTTTTTATAGCCACAAAGCATGACGCTTCAAGCATAGCCCGCATCCTTTGCAATTCTGTCCAACAGTCTATGCAGCCTCACAGCATCTTTAAAATCGGCAACATCCTTGTCGCCGCGAGCATAAGCCTCATACAAATAAGCCGTGTTCTGACCGGGAAACTGCACGCCCTCAATGTGCGCCGGCGTCTTCACCTGCCAGTCAACAACCCTCGGCTCCTTGTCCTCGGTCGTCTTGATGCGAATCTCCCGCTGACCGCTGCCCATCTGCAGTCCTCTGTTAACGGTGAACTCAATCTCGCCTTCGGTGCCGGAGATGGTCCAGTGCAAGTTCTTGCCAAGGAGCTGGCCCAGTCGGTGGTAGTTGACGCTAGCGATTGCGCCGCTCTCGAGGATACCTTAGACAAACATGTAATCCGGGGCAGTCTTATGATAGGCTGGATTCACAATCTGGCCGGTTTTTAAATCCATAATCTTCATCAAGGGAAATTCCTTAGCAAATGATGCCTTAAGCATAGCAAAGCCACCCAGCACGTAGAGGAAGGTGTCCAAAACTGGTGTAACTTTAGTCTCCTTCACTATACATCAAATACAAATGGACTTACAGTAAGCATACATTATATCTTCCCCTAAAAAGGGACTTAGCATATTTTAAAATCAGCACTAAAAATATTCTTTAATAATTCTAGTCTTACCGTTTTACTACTAGCTTTTTTATGTTGTATAGTTTTTTTTTATTTTTCTATTGGTTTTTAAAATGGCGTTATATATTTACCCTTTATTATAAGTATTTCAAATGTTAAAAGGATGCTGTAAGTAAGCTAATTATGACACTATGGAAAGACTTTTTTTTTCTTATTTTAAAGATATATTATAAAGAGGAAGCTATATATTTATAACTGCACTTTATTAACGCTTCCTTAACTTTGTGGAATAGTACACCTGTAGGCTTATATAAGACCACCCCGAATGCTCTTTGCTGAACTCTTTATAAATGTCTTTTTATAAAAGCTTTTTCTCTCCCTTCATTAAATTAATAAGTAATTTTTTCTCCTTTTGACTAAATTAAATATTGGGTGTATTTTTTGTCCTTTTGTTGATCGGTTTTTAAGGCGTTGTTTGGAACGTACGCTGAGGAGATTTGCTTTCCCAGCGGCCTTCTACGCTTAAGAGATATATAATGCTGCCTTTTTAGCCCTCCTCTGCGTTTATTGTGTATATAGAACTTTCTTTTTGGCCGTCTGTACTAGGTGGGTTAACTAATAAGCAGGCTTACTAAGCCCTTGCCTCTCTATATTAAAAAAGCAGACATATAACTTATATTTTATAACAATATATATTTAACTATTTTAACTTTACAGGTATAAAATAACACTATATTAAAAGATTTTAAGAAAAAAATTTAAAATATATATAAAATTATTAATAAAAATTTTGTAATATGAATTTTAGTATATTTAAATATATAATTTAAAAAAAATATTTATATTTTAACTTAATAAATGAAGTACTTTAATAAATAAAGTATATTAATTTTATACTTTATAATAATAATATATAGTTAGTTTTTTATTAAAAAAATAAAAAATATATTTAAAATACTTTTAATTTTTAATTAATTTATTATAAATTTAATTTTTTAATAACTATTTAATAAACTAATATATAATAAACCGGGCCTATATATTAATATAGGTTAGCTATTTTTAAAGGATAAACTTTTAGGTTTTAGGTTTTATATTAGCGGAGCGGTTAAGTCAGTTATAAATATAGTTTTATTAATATTATATAGTTAATAAATATAGTAGTTAAATTTAATTTAATTATTATATTAATAACTAATTATTTAAGCTATTTAAAGAAACGTAAGAATATAAACTTATATACTTAGTTATTTTAAATTAAATTAATAATTTAAGTATTAATTTATATTTAAATTAATAATTATTTTATTAATCCTTTATTAAATTAAAAAGTTATATTTTAATCCTCTTTTAATTAATTAAAAAATTAAAATTAATTTAGCTTAAGCTAATTTATTAACTTATTATTATAATTTTAAAAGTTAAGTTATAATATAATATCCCCTTTTTATTAATTTTACCTTTAAGACTTTACTTTTTTTAATATAAATAGCTATTTTTTTTATTTTTTTATTAATTTTTTTTTTATTATATAATATTTATTAACTATTATATTAAGTGTTTATAAAAAATTTTATTTTAAGATAAAATATTAAAATATTCTTTTAAAGATTATTCTTTTTTATTTAATTAAAATAAAAAATTATATTTATTATATTAATAAAAAAAAATATTATTTTTTTAAATATTAAATATTTAAAAAAAACTTTATTTATTATACTAAGTATATAAAAAATAATAAATCCTTATATAATATATATTTTTTATTATTAATATAATTTTAAAAAATTACTATATTTTATATTTAATTTAAAAATACTTTTAAAAAAGTAAAGGAAAAGTATTATACTATTAATAAAAAAATTAAATATTTTTATAAATAAAAATATTTATAGCTTA